TCAACCCTACACCCTACACCCTACACCCTAAACCCTAAACCCTAAACCCTAAACCCTAAACCCTAAACCCTAAACCCTAAACCCTAAACCCCAAATCCAAGCACCTGGGCCCAGATTCCCACCATCGTGATGGGCGACTTCAACTTCCCGGAGGAGGCGTTTCGGCCTCTTCTCCGGCACATCCACCAGCTGAGCCTTGCTACTGTTTGCCTAAACCCTAAACCCTAAACCCTAAACCCTAAACCCTAAACCCTAAACCCTAAACCCTAAACCCTAAACCCTAAACCCCCCAAAAAATATGAATATTCTTCCCTATAAGGGTCATAAGGGGGTTATTCTTTTTTTAGTTTTTTGGGGGGTTCTTAAGCAAATAGTAGCTTGGGGCCACTTTCAGAGGGGTTTTGGGGGAACCTGCGGGGGTTCAACGTTGAAATGGGTTTAGGGTTTAGGGTTTATAGGGTTTAGGGGTTAAGAGCAATGAAAAGCAGGGGGGAAGTCAGAGCGGCACAGCGTGGCCGGGGAGAGCTCAAATTAGGGCCTGCCGGGTTTTGACGTGTCAGGCGTTCGGGGGGGTTTCAGGATAGGCTTTGGTCTGCAAAGTTCGGGGACGCTTTGGGGTTTTTGGGTTGTGGCTTACAACGTTTTGTGGGAGAGGGTTGAGCTTCGTAGTTTAAGCCTCCGGGGTTTTGAGGTTGTAGGGTTCGGGCATTCTTTCATAGGCTGCGGCTGCCCGAAACCCACCGACCTCTTCAGCAGTGCCAGGGTTTGGGATTCAGAGTCCATCCACCAAGTGGCCACCACTACTTGGTTGATGTTGGGGGACAGGCTGCCTTACCTATGACTTAGCTTAAGAACTCGAATCTGGACCTTCAGAGTTCAGAGCAGAGAGGCGGCGTTGAGGAAGTCTAAGGATGTGTTTTTTTTTTTTGCAGTTTTTTTCTGTTTTTGCTGATGCTGGCCGAGGAGGGATGTCCACTTTGTGCCCTTCCAGTATCCGACGAAGCTATGGCCAACTTGAGACGGGTCTAGGAAGTATACTGTGGGGTCGGAATATTTCTATTCCTTCAGTTCATGGTCCCTTTATAATTATACTAGATTGCCCCCCCCCCCCCCCCCCCCAAAAAAAAATAAATAAAAAACACGAACAAACATATATAGATGCATATTCTAATTATCCAGGCCCCTAGACTAGGGGAGGATGTCGGGTTTGAAGCTCTGCAGCTGAGCCCAAAGAGGCGCCGTGCTGGGTTGGGTCCGGGCCCTCAACCCGGCCCTACAAGGTCCCCCCAAAGTGCCTGGGTCGAACTTGTCGACGGCTTGTGTGTTGGTTTTCATATGATCTCCTTGGATCCGGGCAACCCGAAGATTAGGCTGCGCATCTCTAAGACGTTACGTCCCGCGTCAGCTTCTGACTCCTGAGCCGCAGAGCCTGAAGCGTGCACCCAAGAGCGCCAGCCTGCAAGGAACGTCATGCCCCGCTCTTTGTTGCCGTCGCTTGGCTGAGACTGTGGCAGCCGGGGGGAACTGCAATCATCTCCGAAGCCCTTAACCTTTGTCATAGTTGGGTAGCATTTTACATTTTTAAGGGTACTTAAACCCAATAAGGAATATAAATTTAAAATTTTAATACTATCCCAACAATGAACATGTAACCCCCAAAACCCTCCAGCTCGGAGTTCATAGAGTTCCTTCGACCATTCGAATGTCTAGCAAGTTGCCCCGCTTGGAAAGATTCACTGGCAATGTTTTGCAACCGGCAGCCTTGTAAAGAAAGCAGCATTCCTAGCAAAATCTTAAAGATGCCTAAGACCTACGGGCTCCAGTTTGCCTCATTGTGCAGCAAACAGTATGATGACTAGCCTGGGATTCGACCAATCCCTCACATTCTCAATATCCTGCACCTTCAGCCCCAACCTTAACCCCCCAAGCCTGAAGTCGCGTCCCCAAATCCCTCGGCCGGAAAGGCACGGACCACGAGCCCTTAAGCCCTTACTGCAAGGGGTTTAGGGTTTAGGGCTTAGGGTTTTAGGGTTTTGGGGTTTTTGGGTTTAGGGTTTAGGGTTTAGGGCCCCTAAAACCCTGAGCCGGGCGCAAGAAGCACAGCCATGATGGCCCGCCCGAGAAAGCGCATCGACCACATCGCCTCGCTTTCACCGGAAGATTGGCTCCGAATGGAGCCCTTAGGCGCGGTTCAGGGTTTAGGGTTTAGGGTTTAGGGTTTAGGGTTTAGGGTTTAGGGTTTAGGGCTCTGTTTTGGAGGGCAGTTGAGGGCAGTTGAGGGTAGTTGAGGGCAGTTGAGAGGTTTATGTACCTGATTTATGTTCAGTCTGGCTTAGGGTTTGGCGAAAATCGAGGGTGCTTCAAGAGCCCTGAATCATCATCTACAACTTCTGTTAGTTAGATCATGAGATCTCCTTCAGAGACTTAATGGCCTGCACAACAGGGTATTCGCTTGCCCTCTCCTTTCCTATGGCCTTGCTTGTAGCGAGGTTGCTTGCACGGTCCGCCCGTTGGATCCACGACGTCGGAGTTTGGTCATGGAGCTTCGGGGTTTGAATGTTGTAGGGCCCCAAGACGCCGAGCCCGCGTACGAAAATAGAGCCTGCGTGTAAGCTCAAGTCGTGTCAAGTCCCCTCCGCGCAGAACCGGTGGAGCTTTTCGCGGACTTGCAGGGGCAGGCGCAATTTCCGCCTAGCTTAGAATCTCCCCAGGTTCGCGTGCTGTTGAATTTTGCGCCCCCAATGCCTCTGCATCGTACTATGGTTAGGACATGGAAAATCTTTTTTGTGAGTTAGGACCAGTTAGGATGTAGTGTTGGGCATGGCAGGATGTCACAATTTGGGGCTGCGGTTCAAGCAGTTGTGAGTCACATGAGCTGTGTCATCAGGGCCTCAAGGGCCACCAGAGTTTGATCAGCTTAGCGTTGAGAAGGCCTTCCGATGCCACGGCACGCGCCCTTTTTTCATGGGAAGAGAGCTGAGACTTTGCTGGCAGGTGGACTTGCTTGAGAAGATTGCCACCTCTGAGCCGGATATTCCTGTCGACACGGTCTACGAAGCAAGCGTGTAAGATGGCGGCCTGGACCGCTATATCCTCGACCCCTGACCTTGAAATGCAGTCCCGAATCCCTACATCACTTATGTCCTTTTAGTCCACAAGTGCTACCAGGGTTCAAGAGTTCAGAGACGGGCAAGAAGCCAAACAATCAGACCTTAAGGCGTCTGTACCATAAGCCCCATAGGCTGCTTGGCAGCTCCGTGGCAGGCAACGAACAAAGGACTTCTGCCAGTCGAAGTGTCGGCACCGTGTGCAAGCCAAGGGCCCCAGAAGGGCCCTAAACCTCAACAGCCCTGGCTCTGCCACCCGGGTCCCTCAAAACTCCAGCCGCCTGATTTCGGTCTCTCAAAATCTCGAGAAAGAAGGGCAGCAATTTGGAGGGCCCGAGAGTTGTCTATCTACCCATGCAATGTACATGCCTATCTATCCTATGTCTTTTTCTTGCCTACATATGCATGTCCGTATTTGCCTTCTCCAAACAGTGTTGGACACCTGTTCTGGCCATGCCGGGTCCTCGGAGACGTTGCCATAACCCTGCTTGCGAGTACTTGTCCCATCCCGATGTGTCGAAGATGGGAAGCTTCTGCTGCAAGAAGTGCCACTACCATTTCGATGTTGGGTCCAAAGCGGGCAAGAGCCTCACGCATGGCGACCTTTGCGCAAGAAAGCCTGCTGGAGGTGCGCAAAGGGCAGAGCTGCTTGCTCCGCCGGCACCGTTGACAGAGATGTTTAGCCGTGGGAAAGGAAGGAAGAACAAGAATCAGTGGGATAAGTCAGACACGTCTGCCAAGTGTGAGGGGCCTTCCAAACCTTCAGCGGAAGTGAAGTGCGATGGGATTTGGGCGGACGCTGCGTCAGTGCCCTTTCCGGGGCAAAGGGCAGAGGTGGCACAAGGGGTGCATCTGCGCCCACGAAGCCGAAGTCGGACGAGGAGTCCATCAAAAGTGTGTCACGAGAGACGAGAAGGACGTCCTTCCATGCGGAAAGAGTTTCGGCCTGATCCAAGCAGCAGTTGCAGAGATGGGGCCGAACATCCGGAGATTTCGAAGGAGCAGATAGAAGCGCTCTTTATCGTGCCAAGGGCTCGGTGGACTGCAGGGGACTCTTGCAGCACAACGTCCGAGTCATCCCCGTCCGTCCACTTTTATGATGTCGATGAAGAGCAGCTGGCGATGAGCGATTCTGAAACGGAGAGTAAGGACTGGCTCTGACCCGAAAGACGGCCCAAGTGGAGCGCGAAGGGAATGTGTTTTTTCAGTGTCGGCCTGGAAGTGGCTGCAGCCCGTCCTGCTGCTGCATGCTGCCGACCTCAGGCATTGCAGATCAAAAAGTCATTGCCAGTTGGCAGCTTCATTCATGTGGGTGATTTAATGGTCCATGTAAGGACTTGATACGGGTTTAGGGTTTAGGGTTTAGGGTTTAGGGTTTAGGGTTTAGGGTTTAGGGTCTACATGTCTTGCGAAAGTTCGACAGCAGTCCCCCTAGGTCCCTGGACCGCTCCTCCTTTAGTGCACGCTAGGTAGGACAAACCCTAAACCTTAAAGCCCAAACCCTAAACCCTGAACCCTAAACCCTAGACCCTAAACCCACGTGTGTGAGGGTGAGAGCTCATCAATTCAGCTAGGGCCTTTGTGCCGATCAGGGGTCTGCACATGACAAGTGACCGGCCGAACTTCATGTTCAGAGCCACAGTCTCGGAGGCCATGTCTTACTTCGGAACTCGATGCCAGCTCGACGCCTGACGCCGAAAACGCTCTAACCCCCAAAAACCCTCAAGCCTTTTCTACGGCGGTATGTGCTGAAAACAACCACTCCACTTACGCACTATACAGGCCTAAAGTATAAGGATCATACACCCTAATCCCCCAAAGGGCTCCTGTGATCTAGACCGACCCTTTTCTTCCTGCCCTAGAGCGAACCCTGACCTCGAGCCAACTCTGCAGGTCCCAGCCTCACCATCGTCGCAGCCAGCCCGGCACCCAAGAAAGGCAGCAAAAGGCTTTAGACTTTGGGTTCAGGGGGGTTTAGGGTTTAGGGTTTAGGGTTTAGGGTTCAGGGCTTCAGGGCTTCAGGGCTTCAGGGCTTCAGGGCTTCAGAGCTTCAGGGCTTCAGGGCTTCAGGGGCTCAGGTCTCAAGATTTTCCGACGCCCTTTTTGGAGTCGAAGACGGGGAGCGGCATGTGACGAGATCCCGAGCAGAGTCAAAAGCATTGCCGGAATGTAGGTAGCCAGGGCGGGCAACAGCGTGCCCACTTTCCCCCTTGTACCACCCCCCCCTTCCCCCTGTGACAAAAAATGGGTCCGGCAGGTATAAAATATTTAGCGTTAGAGGGGTCTATTTGGGAGTCTTGGCAGGGTTTCTGGCAGAATTTTGCCGATAACTAGTTGAAGTTTGGTGGGGGCTTATAGACAACTTCTAGAATTCAGGGGAAGGAATAAGTGAAGGTTGAGGCGCAGTGCAGGGACGACAAGAGGGCAGGGTCAAATGAAGAATATGGTTCAGGGCTAGAGGTTTGAGGCGGCAGTACATTCGGCAGTACACTTGGAATCTGGCCATCAGCAGCCAAGGCCCTGCACTCAAACCCTAAACCCCAAGCCCTAAACCCCAAACCCCATACCGTAACCCTAAACCCTAAACCCTAAACCCTAAACCCCAAACCCTAAACCCTAAACCCTAAACCCTAAACCCTAAACCCTAAACCCTAAACCCTAAACCCCAAACCCAGGACTCCCGTCCGCTGCTTCCGCCCAAAGAGGTGATGCACCCGCCGGCGCGATTACCCGAAACATATTCCGCGGTCTTGAAGTCTTGGAAGTGTTTCAAGGGTTTAGGGTTTAGGGTTTAGGGTTTAGGGTTTAGGGTTTAGGGTTTAGGGTTTAGGGTTTAGGGCTAGGAGGATCAGGATCAAGTCTAGGAATATGCTTTTTCAGAGGGCTTGAAGGGCCATCCTATGAAGCCTTTGGAAGTGTTTCAAGGGGGGTCTGGGTAGCCCAGTGGTACCCTTTACCCTTTTCTGGGTTCCCTTATTAAAGTAGCCAAGCAAAAAAGGGTACCCTCCTGATAAGATGGGTACTGGGCTACTGAGGGGTGTGTTATAGGGTTGTTGCGTGCATGGTGGTGGTTTGAATGAGCTCCCAAGCGGACATGTAGTGGTGGATGTGTTTTTGAAATGGTCCGTCCGTCCAGTTACTTGAAGATCCGAGCGTTTGCGGTACCCAGGGTCGATGCGTAGGGAACAGCTGGAAATCAGCCAGTAATATCCCACTCAAGCTCACATGCCAGAGATTTAGACTTTGCATCGCAAGTTTCGAGGGAATAGTTGAGGACGTTCGATGGGTTGCAGGCCATTAGCTTCAGGGGCTCTGGCTGTGCAGCCTATGAACCCTACAGTTCGAGTTCTGCGAACTCCGAGCATTCCGAAAAGTTCCTCCCCAACACTGTTAGCATCGGTAGGGCTCATGGTTGGAATTTGTTGGAGGTTACGGGTGCTGCCGGTGTTGTGCATGCGGCGCACAGACTTGCCTGCCCAAAGTGCTCCGCGAACATGGCAGGTCCGTAATGCAGTGGGTCGGCCTCTTACAAGTTACAGGGTGGTGCGCCGTGAGCGGAGATTTGAAGTTGGCTCTTGATCGCCAGCATCTCGCTGGACTGATATCGTTCGGGGAGCTAAGCTTTGGCCCCCTATTTGCTTTTTGTTCTTTCGTTCGTTTTCGGCTTCATGTTTTTGGGGGGCTACCGTTTTTGTTTAAATACAGAGCACTGGTGGTTTTCTGATGAAGATATTGCAGGAGAAAGAGGGCTTCCTATGAACATATGCAGGAAAAAGGGCTTTCTTATTAAATTGACAGAGGTTTGCCGAACAAGCGAAGAAAAGGAAAGGCATAAAGAAAGAAATTAATAAATTTCGACAGAAAGAGTCAAAATAAGCAAGACCGACATAAATTCTGTCCGCTCCCCCCGCCCTTGCAAAAGACCTGCCCCTTCAGTGTTGTCGAGTCCTTTTTGACTCATTGTGAGCAACATGTTTTCCGAACCGCAAAATCCTAAATATACGTTTTTTTTCTCCTATGATTTGCTTAAGAGCCCCCCCCCCCCCCCCCCGCCCAAAAAAAAGGGAAAGCAAGAAAACAAACGATACTCCCCTCGTTGGAACATATGTATATGTAATAATAATAATAAATAATCATAATAGCAGTAACAATAATAATAGTAACAATAATAATAACGTATGTGTATATATATATATACATATATACATATACATACATATATGTATAAGTTTACATATATATATATATAAATCTGTATCTATCATGTTTTTTTTTTCCTGGGGGGGGGGGTGCGTTCATAAGCAATTCGTAGTTTCAACTTCGGTTTTTGACATTTCAGGTCTTGATCCAGAGTCGCGACATGAAGCCCGGGACTTTGGAGTGGTGGCACGGGCGCTCAGTTCAAAAGGGGGTGGCTACGGGTGGGGTTTAGGGTTTAGGGTTTAGGGTTTAGGGTTTAGGGTTTAGGGTTTAGGGGGCGAAGTCAAAAGAGGCCTTTCTAGATGTGGAGTTCCAGGGCGAGTTTCAACGGAGTCGATGTTTGTCTCTAGAGGTCTTACAGCCTTCAGGCTCGAGGGCCTAAAGGTTGAGTGCTTCGGCGGTCTAAGGAGCTCAAGATTTCAGTATCTCAGGATCTTCGGGCGCAAGGACCCTAAACCTTAAACCCTAAACCCTAAACCCTAAACCCTAAACCCTAAACCCTAAACCCTAAACCCTAAACCCTAAACCCTAAACCCTAAACCCTAAACCCTAAACCCTAAACCCTAAACCGGAAGCACTTGTTGGCTCCGATGTTGGTGTTATTCGGGGTTTCAGTGTCTATATTGTCTTCCGGTAACTCAGAAACCTGACCGTGAAGTAGAAGCAAGACCATTACTGAACCCCGCACCCTAGCTTCCTAGACCCTAAACCCTAACCCTAAACCCTATCTCAACTCTGGGCACCTCACGTTGAAAGCCCAAAAACACATATGGTCAGTTCTCTAATCATAGTCCCTGTTGGGGTACCCTAAATAAAGGGGTCGCCTCGTCATAAGGACCCCAAAAGGGACCATAATTGAGAGAAATCGCCGTATCATCTATGGTGCATCATCGCGAGGTGGCGGCGTGTCTAGCATTCAACAACGGCTGGCATTTGGTGTGCTTACGTGTTTTTGGGCTTGCCGTGATCTCGTTCAGGTTTCCGAAAGGATGGGTCTAAGAGTTCACGGCGTAGTGGCACCCTAAACCTTGAACCGAAACCCTTAGCCCTAAGCCATGCAGCTCTGGAGGACAGACCCTCTGTCGGACAACCACGCCAGGACTTTCCTTGAGTTTGCTGATTTTTCTGGCGGTCAGGGCTCCTTCTTGAGCCGTTCTGGGTTTAGGGTTTAGGGTTTAGGGTTTAGGGTTTAGGGCCACGTGCGAAGGCCAAACATTCTGTCCGGTATGGTGAAAACTAGCTGCAGCTGGTTAGTTATAGTAATTGGCTAGGTCACCCCAAAGCCTATTCGTAAATGTTGCTTGTGCCTCGGGGTCCAGGTTGGAGAAATCCTTGTTCCATGATGAGCCCGGGGTTGCGGATTCAGACTTATGCCAGCCATGTCTAAGTAATCCTTACATATGTTGATATACATCTATACTTTGCTATACCCATTGAACTGTGAATCTGAACCAAGTCTTTGCTCAAGGTTTGCATGGGATCGCTGCGGCGTCCCCAAGCACTGAAATACTGAAAGCAGTTCAATGTTTCCATCTCGGCCCACGCCCAAGGAACCAAGACAATCACCTTTGGTCCCAGGCCGGAGACCAATGTTGAACTATTCTTCAAAGATGGCCCATCAAAATTGGTCCCCGGTCCAGAACCAAGATGGCCTACTTGAAAATCTGTTATGCCATATAGGTTCTTGGCAGTTCTTCATTCCCGGCCCAAGATATGAGCATTACATGCACTTCAACAGTTCAGGATTCATAGTCCCATGCTTGATTCTGGGGTTTGCATCGCGTTCGCTGACTTAGCGTCCGGCTTTGCTTTGTAAGCCCCATAAGCCCTCTAGTAACCTCCAGAAAGCTGGAACATGGTTTAAGGGTGATTAGTGCTGGGATTCCTTTTGGTTTACCTTTTGGGGCGTGGGGATATGGGTGTTCCAGCTTCTGGGGGTTTACTGTATATACTCTGTCTCCGAAAGCAGGGGTGCCTTATTGGGAGCCCTATTATCAGGGATCTATATTTGGGATCCTCTATGTTCGGAAACCTCCATATACTTTAAATCCAAATCTTGGGTGCAGGATGGAGAGTGAGCTTCGTGAGCTCCAGCGCTATGCCGCTCTGGCTGGAACTAAAGGTCCCTGATGTTGGGCAAGTTGGGGATGCACCCTAAACCCTAAACCCTAAACCCTAAACCCTAAACCCTAAACCCTAAACCCTAGACCCTAGACCCTAGACCCTAAACCCTAAACCCTAAACCCAAGAGTGTTCGGAGCATGGGCTGCATACAGCTTCGACACAAAAAGACAACCCGGATCGACACCTCGGCAGGCCTTTTGCTCGGAGGGAATCGGACGTTGCGAGTTCCCTTGTCCTAGGTGGTATAACCCTCCGAGGCTTGCTCGAGCACAGAGCGGACCAAGAGATTTTTATGATTTTAGTTAAATTTGTGAAGCGTTTTTTGGTGTTCAACGTGCCAAGGTCCGGGATCAAAGGTCAGTAAGGCTTAGCGAAACCTCGAACCCCTGACCCTGCAACTTCCGAGCCCCACCTCGAAGGCCTTTGAGCCTTCAAAGCCTACACCAAGGTGGAGCATGGTTGGTGCTTCCCGCGTGACAACTTCCAACTGCCACGGGCCCACGGGGAAATACTGTAGAGAATTTGTTTTCGAGGCCCTGCATGGGTTTTAGGTTCAACGATTAGTAAGGGGGTCGGGGTGTGGGCTGTTGTGACCGAAGCTGGACATCTTAAGCTTAGTTGAGGCCCTGCCGCAGCGCAGCGCCCTTCATCCTCCGATGGCTGGGAGCCGGGAAGCCCGGGCTTTAGGGATGCTTGTGGGGGAGATTTTGCGGGTCGGGCTATAGCGCACTAGGCTGTCAAAGGTTTTGGGTCCCAGCGCGAGTTCGGAGGAGTTCAGGATTGCCCTAAAGGAAGGCTGAACAGCTTCTTGCGGGCCTCTCCAGATCTGATCTGTAAACCTTGATCCGAGTAATGGGCATTCCAGGTCTATCGGTGAGGAGTGGCAAGGTCGCAGGTGCTCTGAAGGCAGGAACCAAAATGCGGCTTCATTCTGGCGAACCTTGTGTTAGACAGTTTTGCCTGAGGGGGTTGGGGTCGTTTCTAGGGTAGTTCGTGCTCTGTGGCTGCAAAGCCAAACGTGCCCGTTCTGGTTCCGTTGATGATACATGCTGATACAACGGTCGCTGTAGGTGGTGTTAGGTTCCCATGCCAGTAGCAAAGCTTTGTCCTGTGGAGGCAGCACGATGTCTAAGGACCCAGGCAATCATCAGATGCCTTGCTACGTCATGCCTTCTGCAGCCAAACCACAGGAAGCCCAGGACCACACGATTCTTGCGTGCCAAAAAAGGCCTTCAGCCCTCTGAGCCACCAGATCCAGAAGGCCGCACAAAATCCTAAGGTCTTTCAGCACAGACCTCAAGCATAATTCTAGGCGTCTCTTGCGACCCCTGGCGGAGTTCGACCGAGGTGCTTCCCGAGCCAATTGTGCCGCCACACGTCATAAAGGCCAAGTCAGTGTCTGATAACGTGTCGAAGTATAAGCCGCATGTCAACAAAGGGTGACTACAGGGCTCGTTGCAGATTCTGAGCACTGTGCTGTTTTTCGCCAGTCAAGAAAGGGGTTCTACTAGGTAGTCTACTGCTGCCCAGCGGTCTGTTTGGGCTGCAGCTTGTAGGGCGCAAGTTTTGTCAACGTTCTTTTTATTGGACAGCTGTTTCGCTGACACCAAGGTTGAGGCACACATGCTTTCCTGGTTTAAGCCCTTGCTAGGCTCTGCTCCCCCCTGCCTCCCCCCCCTCCCCGCCGCCCTCCTCTCCCAAGCCTCCGACGGGAGCCCATAGCAACTGCCGTGCTTGGCGCAGCTTGAGCCATTTTGGGGGCGCCATCCCCCAGCCTGTGCACCTAAGTTGCCTTTTGGGTCACTCTGAGAGCGCTTTGAGGTCTTCCGGGTTTGGCTTGGGAGGCCTACTCATATAGGAACTCACCAACCCTCCTGAACCCACTCCCGAACCGATTGTTCGAAGATTAATTTTCGAAGGTTTAAAGCACAACTCAGAGAAGCCTTGAGGCCCGAAGCCCTCAAATCCACAAAAGCCCTGTTGGCATGGGTCTATATATTCCCGAAAACCAGACTGAAACTGACTTTCTGTACGTGCCAAACACCGAAATCCTCCTGGAAGCCTTACACCCTAAACCCCAAATCCCAAACCCTAAACCCCAAATCCCAAACCCCATACCCTAAACCCTAGACCCTAAACCCCAAACCCTAAGTCCTAAACCCTCCTACCCGATTTTTTTGGAGCTTTTCCGAGAGCTCCAAGAGGCCTTGGAGGCCGAGTTAGCCGACGGCCGCTCCAAGCGCGGGCGGCTGCTGCGGGACCTGCACCTGGGCGATTTGGGGGCTTAGGGATGTTTAGCGTTTAGGGTTTAGGGTGTAGGGTTTAGGGTTGAGGGTTCGTACAGCCATGTAGATTATATATGCATACATACATACATACATACATACATACATACATACATACATACATACATACATACATACATACATACATACATACATACATATACAAAGCCTTTATAGAGAGAGAGAGAGAAAAAAAAACATACAAAAAAAACACATATACATATATGTATATGTATATATGTAGAGCCTTCGAGCCCTTCACCGTCCTCATCGCCGCGTGCTCACCACCAAGACCTGAGAGCTGCTTCCAACTTCTCACGAAGCCCTTCAAAGCCTAGAGCTCTGAAGCCTAAGCCCTGAACCCGTCCTAAACCTGTCCGCCCCCCCTCCGACTGACCCTCAACCAAGCCAAGGACATGACCGGGTTTAGGGTTTACAGGGTTTATAGGGTTTATAGGGCTTATAGGGTTTATAGGGTTTATAGGGTTTATAGGGTCTATAGGGTTTATAGGGTTTATAGGGTTTATAGGGTTTATAGGGTGTATAGGGTTTATAGGGTTTATAGGGTTTATAGGGTTTAGGGTTCACTGATGACACGCCTGTGGAAATCTTCGCTCCGGGAATCGGATTTTGAAGGCTCAACGGCAGTGCAGTGAACCCCGATCCCTTCTCCTCTGAACCCACCACCCCCGAAAAGGCGGACTTCTAAGCCGCGCTGTGTGTGTGACTGCATGTTCGAGGCTGCGTGTTTCCTGCCCTGCACCTCGCTAGAACCTGGTGAAAGAATCATGGTACATGGACTGCTCTATTTCTCGTCTGCTTCCGGCACTTGGAGGAACATGGAATTTTAGGTTTCTTGTTGCGCATCACCTAGACTTGTTCTTGCACCCTGACGACCCAATGAACCCTAACCAACACCCTTAGTGCACCCTAAACCCTAAACCCTAAACCCTAAACCCTAAACCCTAAACGCTAAACCCTAAACCCTAAACCCTAAACCCTAAACCCTAAACCCTAAACCCTAAGCCCAAAACACCCCAAGCTCCGCCTTCCATGAAGCCTCGGGGGTGCTCAGGGATGAGTTGCCCAGGGCAGTGCTGCTGACCGTCCGATCCTCGGCCTTCGGGTCTTTGTGGTCTGCTCTGTGCGTTAGGCCGGGGTCTGCAAGGGTTTAGGGTTTAGAGGGCTTAGAGGGTTTAGAGGGCTTAGAGGGTTTAGAGGGTTTAGAGGGTTTAGAGGGTTTAGAGGGTTTCGAGGGTTTAGAGGGTTTGGAGGGTTTAGAGGGTTTCGGGGCCGCTGCCAACAACAAAGTCTTTTTGACTTGTGAGGGTGTGGCAACACGCCCCTCAAGCCCGAAACTCCTAAACCCTAAACCCTAAACCCTCAACTCCCAACTTCGCAGCCCCTCTGCCAAAAAGCCGAAGCAGTTCATGGTTTCAACCAGCTACAGGTCCTGTGCTTCTTCGGGCAGGTCAGCACCCGACACGGCAGCCACGTGGCACATACAAAGTCGGGCTTCTTGGGGTTCTTGCGGTTCGGAGTTCAGACTGAAAGGGGCCAGGGGCTTGCGGGGGCCAGATAGACAGCCGGCTCTGCGGATTCAGCTTTGGGGCTTCGCACCCTGGAGTTCGAGGCCCCTTGAGGGTAGGGGTGTATGGTGCCCGGGTTGGGTGGTTGGTCCCTCAACCCTAAACAGAAGCCAGCGGCAGCAAGGTTCGAAGTTTCGTTTGGGGTTAGTAGAAAATGTAAGCTACACATGTCCATGTCGCTTGTGTACATCAGCCCCGTGTCTAGCAACTCTCCATGAACCTCTGAGTGCAGCTGTGCAGCTCCCGAGGCTTCTTTGGCGACTTCCCAGCCCGCCTCGCCTGCGCACTGACGCAGCAGGCCCGCGTTTTGCCACATCCTAAACCCTCAACCCTGAACCCTAAACCCTAAACCCTAAGCCCTAAATCCTGAACCGCAATCAGCAACAAAATCTTGGCGAATGACCCATATCGTAAGGCTTAGAACTCCAGCTTTTCACATCCCAGGCGCCAGCTCCAGATGCTGCCACATGGCCTGGGGGCCCAGGCCTACGTTGAGCTATAGTTCGAGGTCAGAAGTTCAATCTTCACAGGGCTTTTGCAAGTCTGAGGCTAAGTCCATGGAGAGGTTGGAGAGGTCTCAAACCTAGAAGCGGACTCCTAGTCTCCTCCCTACCATGTGACTGTGAGCAGTCCTTTTGCTTTGATGGTAGGGCACCGTGAGCTAAGGCTAAGGCCCTGACCCTCAGCTCAGTGTGGGTGTAGAAATTCCGAGCTTCCGTGCTTTGGGCTCACCTTTGTACAAGCCGCAAAGGCTTCGAGAATGTAGATGACCCGTATCCTTTGCACTTTTGGTAACATATGGTCATATAGTAGTCGTTGAAATGCTACCTATGCTACCCATCTCCGCACCGAGCGCCTGCCAACGCTCGCCTTTGAAGACGTATTTGGAACCATTGGCTCTTTGAAGGCATATGCTTCGATTGCCCGGGCTGGACCATCTGCTGAGCTCTTTAGGTCTTCTGAACAACTTGTCGACCTGAATTGACCTCGAGGTCACTCCTTAACAAGCCTACGTAGGTTCGTTTAGAGGAGCGGCCCAGTGAACAAAGACCGGAAGGCGCTTAACTCGATGGGCTACGTTATTCGGTTCAAACTGAGGGACTTCAGAAAAGCGGATTCTTGATTGCGGGTTCACTTTGTTCATGATGTTCAACGTCTGCACTTGTGGCCGAGGCTTGTCCATGTACTGACAGAGGAGGTGAAGGCTTGCCTCTTATGCAAGCCGTGTGCGTGTGCGTGTGTGCGTGTGTGCGTGTGTGCGTGCGTGCGTGCGTGCGTGCGTGCGTGCGTGCGTGCGTGCGTGCGTGCGTGCGTGCGTGCGTGCGTGCGGGCGTGCGTGCGTGCGGGCGTGCGTGCGTGCGTGCGTGCGTGCGTGCGTGCGTGCGTGCGTGCGTGCGTGCGTGCGTGCGTGCGTGCGTGCGTGCGTGCGTGCGTGCGTGGGTGTGTGTGTGTGTGTGTGTGCCTCTGTGTGTGTGTGTGTCCTTTTTTATTTAAAGGCTGACTCCGCTGCCGCCGACCCCCGAGGTAAGTGCCGCGGGCTTTGCCCGGCTTTTGCAGGATGTCGGCTCGCAGCAGGTGCATTGCCACAGCGATCCTTTGAGGAGGACATGGGTGTCCCAGAACGAATGAAGATGTCGCTTGTCTTTGGGTCAGCGGGATTTAGCAGCCGCAGTATGAAAAACGCCAGTTTTCTGGCTCGGGTGGAGGGGAGGGAGGGGGGGGGGGGGGGGGGGTTGGGGGGGGGGGGGGGGGGGGGGGGAGGGGCGGCTGGGGGGGGGGGGTTAGGGAAACGGCTCCCAAAACGCGTGGCTTGGGCCGCCTTCCAAAACAACCAAATCGGGTTTTTTTTTTTCTGGTGGGGTGGAGGGGGAGGGGGGGGGGGGGGGCGGGTTGGGGGGGGGGAGGGGGGGTGGGGGGGGGCGGGTTGGGGAGGGCGGGGGGTGGGGAAACGGCTCCCTGGTTCCACCCTTGGGGGGCGGGGTCACAAAACGCGCGGCGTATGGAGGTGGGTTACCATACGCGCGGGTCCATCCACGTAGGAAGCAAGCCGCGCGGGTCCATGGGGAACGCCACTAGCGGGTCCAGCGGGCAAGGTACGAGTCCAGCTTCTTGACGCCGACAAAGGGGGTCGGCGGATTTGTGTGTGCGTGTGTCGTCGTGCATTTCGGTGTGCCTCTGCGTGTGTTTTTGGTGCACGTATATTATACATATATATATATATATATATAATCTCTCTCTCTCTCTCTGTGTCTCTCTCTCTCTCTATCTGTGTCTGTGCGGGCGCATGTTGTTGTGGGTGTGCTTGCTGTTGCAGGTGTTGTGATTAGTTAGTTGTGGTTGTGGTGGTTGTTGTTATTGTTGTTGTCGTTGTTGTCGTCGTCGGTGTTGTCGTTGTTGTCCTGTTGCTCTCAGTGAAGGACTCGATTCACGACCTTTTCGTCGGCGCTTCCTTGCTAACACCCGCTTTTGCATGCAGCCTCAGCTTACAGTCCAAGTTCTTCATCGGGCGAGACAGGCATCACTATCACATTTTGATTGGCATTCAGCCTCCCCGTTGCAAACAAGCAAAGCCACAGAAGGCTCAGCCAGCAAACTCTGCGCCCAAAGCTCTGAAGCCAGCACTCTTGCATCTTTTCAAAGTTAGCAGCTTGGACGTTTAGACCCAAATGCCACTACCCGGCGCCTCAGCTACCCCACCTCTTTTCCTTCTCAGCCTCTTAAAAGCCCCCCGCTGGGCTTCTCGAGATTTCGGCTGCCGGAAGGCGGAACGGCGCTTTCCTCCATTGCAGACCATCAGCGCCTACAGCGCCTGCAACGCCCTTGCGCGGCTGGGCGGCAGACGGGTCGGATACGAATTGGACATGGCATGCACTTTCAGTGACGCTGTTGCTTTTTCTTGTGTGTGTGTGTGTGCATGAGTGTGGGGTTGGGAGTGGGGGGCGGGTGGGGCGCAAGGTGCCGCGTTGAGGGGACGCTTCGAGGGCACTTTGCGGATTTTGGGCTTTTTGGCCTTGCTTGTGGTTTGGCGTTCGATCGGTTCTCGATTTGCGGCTTAGTTCGGTTCGGTTGGGTTCCGGGGTTCTATGTGTCGGGGTTTTACGAGGTTTGGAGTTCATCGTTGCAAGGGTTTGAGCACGATGAAGTAGGGCACGTAGCTCTTTTCCTGCCTGATCCTCAGACCGACTTCCGCCCGGCACACTGTTGCTTTAGGGCATGGGGCTTAGACATTCAAGTGACATTGATGACCTACATTGTGAAATCTTGGGATTTGCATGGCGCCGCGCAAGCTGCGACATATCTTAGTGGTTTTCAAGGAGCCAGGTTCGGGGATTCAAGATCTGAGGGTGTAAGGGTGTGTAAGGTTGCAGCATCCCGGCTTGTCTTCGGGGATGGGGTCCAGGGCTTCCACCCTAAACCCTAAACCCTAAACCCTAAACCCTAAACCCTAAACCCTAAACCCTAAACCCTAAACCCTAAACCCTAAACCCTAAACCCTAAACCCTAAACCCTAAACCCTAAACCCTATTCGGGATGCCCAGCAGCTCTGGGAGGAGCTGATCCTGGGCCAGCCCTTAAACTGAGGGCTGCCAGGCTCTGCCGGGCTCTTTCGCCAGGCCCTGTCGCCAGCAGATGTGAGCATAAGGATGCGTTACCCAGAGTTAGGGGTTTAGGGTTTGGGGTTTGGGGTTTGGGGTTTAGGGTTTAGGGTTGAGGGTTTAGGGTTGAGGGGAGAATGGGTGGCACTGTCTGAAAGGGCGTGAAGACATGAATATTGACATAACGCAGGAACGAAGTGAGTGTGCCCAAAGACCCTTTTCTAGCGCTTTTTGGCTTCATCGGGTCTCTGGAGTAGTATCAAGTCTGGGGCTGTTGTATTCTCTTTCTAGTCCCCTCAATCTTCCCTTGCTCTTGCTTCGCAATCCTCGAATGGTGCTTCGCCGTACTGGTATTAGTAAGTCCTTCCGGCCCGGATCCCAACACACGAGACCCTGGAACCGATCTGGGAGAAAAGGTTCCGGCATGCTAAGACGGAGGCCCTACATCCAGTTGCCACACCTCTGGCGAAGTTAATGTCCCGCAAGGTTGCCACCGCCTTACTTGCAACTCACAGCTGGGCTTGGAAATAGTGTTCTTCATGTGGAGCTGACTGGTTTAGCTGTTGAGAACCCACCACTGAACCCACCACTTGGGTTTAGGCTTCCCATTTCTGGGCTTACAGGGGAGCGTGTGTTTCATGATTCTGCCCCAGCCATTAAGCCACCATGCCTTTTCAAGGCTCCCACGGAAGATTGCTTAAGGCAACCGGCGCTTACTTCGTAGAAAAGCATGAAGCTTGCTCGGAAATGTGGGAGGGTGACATTTACGTAAGGTGCTTCTCCCATCCTCTCTAGGGAAGCCTCGCTTCATGACGGGGCCTTCATGAGCCCCCCCCCCCCACCCGGCCCCCCCCTAAACCCTAATTATAAACTCTAAACCCTCAACCCTAAGCCCTTAACGCAAATTAAGCAAAAATTCCAACGTGAGTCCCCCTTTGCAGCTTCCCCACAGCATTCCACGCAACCCAGAATAACAGCTAACAGCAGATGTATTACCCCTTTATTTCGGTTCAAGTCTTAGCCCCTTTAAGCAGGAACATGGCTTTCTTGCTCCCAGGATGAATGGGTGTGACATTGCAAACACATTTCCGATCTCCCAAGGGATCTGCTGAAGGATCTCTGGGCTTCTGATTCTCGAGAAGACGTCGGGCTCGATTCAAAAAGGATCGCGCCAGCTCCTTGCTGCTTTCCCACGCGCTCGCACTAAACCCTAAACCCTATACCCTAAACCCTAAACCCCAAACCCCAAACCCTAAGCCCTAAACATACCTAAACTCTAAGGTTCTGGGACTCGGAGATCTTCAGAGGGGAGTGCCGAGCAAACCCACAATCATCTTCCCAAGCATCCCCCACGGAGGTTCTCCCTAAACCCTGAACCCTCATACCCTAAACCTCTCTAAGCTTCCAAATGCCCTAAACCCTAAACCCCAAACCCTAAACCCTAAACCCTAAACCCTAAACCCTAAACCCTAAACCCTAAACCCTAAACCCTAAACCCTAAACCCTAAACCCTTGAAACCTCAGACTTCGAGAGCCCTGAGCCGCAGCTTCCGAACCCCCAAAAAAACGACCACCCAAAGCTGCAGCAATCTCAGAGCTCTACTTGCCCGGTCCTCGCTCTCGACGTCTCGTGGTGACCTGAGCTGCCGGCCATCCCTAAGCCCTAGACCCTCAACCCCTAACCCCTAACCCCTAACCCCTAAGCCCTAAACCCTAGACCCTCAACCTTAGACCCTCAACCCTAAACCCCTAAACCCTGAACCCTGAACCCTGAAGCCTAAACCCTTTCCTCTGCGCAGTGCCTTGAAGGCACGAAGGAACCAGAAGGAAGCCCCCAAAAGGGGTGTTGTAGGGCATTCATGTGTGCGTATATATGTGCGTGTATATATGTATGTATGTATGTATGTATGTACGTACATACGTACGTATGTATGTATATATATATATATATATTCACATACACATTCATATATGCATATAGTAATAGTACGTATCAATACAGCCTGTAGGGCCTAGACCGCGGTCTCAGGGCTTCGGGCTTTAGCCGTCAGTGTTCGCTTGTGTGGGATCCGAGACGAGACGATCCGAACCCCGGGATTCTGACTTAGGTACCATACTACCATGGCTTTGGGGATGTAGGTTGACGGAGACCTTAAGAATTCTGAAGCCGAGGTGTTGCAGCAGTAGCCCACATGGGCTCTCAAAGCCTGGAAACCCCCGAAACTCCCTAAGCTCCCAAGCCCGTACCCCATACATTGCCTGTGCCTGCGCCCCAAGAGACTACGGAGGGCCAGCAGCATCACCCGGAACCTCCAAGGCAGCATCAACTACCATTTGCTTAAGAACCCCCCCGAAAATATAAGATATTCCTCCTTGTAAGGGCAACATAGGGATTGGTGTTTGTTTAGTTTGTGAAGCAAATAGTAGTCAAGAACTAGAAATTGCTTAACAGCCAGCCACAACAGAAATATTCTTCCTTACAAGGGCAATCGAGGGATTACTATCTTTATTTGTTTTGCGGGGTTCTTAAGCAAGTAGTAGAGAACTCACAAGCTTCTGGGAACCGTGAACTTGAGGGCTTTGGCTGTTCACTGTTTGGTGGTGTAGGGCTTTCGGAACATATCTTCGAAGCACGTGGCCTAAGGGGAGGGGATTTAGGGTTTAGGGTTTAGGGTTCAGGGTTTAGGGTTTAGGGTTTAGGGACCCAGGGTTTGGGGTGTTGCGCTGAGCTGATTTGTTGGCCTTTTCAAGCGAAGTTCAAGCAGCCGAGGTCGTCATGTCCCGAAAGCTTCGCCCCCAGGGCGCATGCTGTCTTCTTTTGTGCTTCAGAGTCCAAGGCTTAGGGTTTAGGGTTTAGGGTTCAGGGTTTAGGGTTTAGGGTTTAGGGTTTACGGTTTTAGGGTTTTAGGGTTTAGGGTTTAGGGTGTGAATTTCGGGCTGAGGACTTAGTTGCGTATGTTGGGTGCTTAAACTGCAAGGACCAAGCGTTGGAACCCTGTGGCCTGCTCTCTAAAATCCTAAGCACAGGACTGGTTTAGGGTTTAGGATTCACGGGTTTAGGGTTTAGGGTTCAGGGCTGTTTGCCCGTAATGTCTTAGCCCCAAACCTACAGTGCTGAACTCAGCAAAGAGGCCGATTGTGGGTGGCAACTGGAAGTGCAACCCAGCCAAATTGGGAGATGCCAAGGCACGATGCACTAGGGTTTAGGGTTTAGGGCCTAGGGTTAACTCTCTTTGATTGCGGAAGCTATGGTTAAGGCCTCAAAGGGTTTGTGGTTGGCAGGAGATTCCAAAAGTTCCCCCAGCGTTTGAACAGGATTCTGGAATAGTACCGGTCTTGGCACGGGGGAATCCTGGTCACTGCAGATTGTTCGGAAAACTTCCACCCCCCTGCCCCCACTGTCGCGGTTATGGAGCCCCAAGCAATTAGCCGCTGCAGTCTGGATTTCAGTATCTAGGGCACAGGGCCCCTAAAGGTCCTAAGTTGCCTACGTAGGTCGTAGGCAGTTCGGGTTGATGATTTCAAGATATGCCATGCCACTGTTGTTTTGCCGGACTCTTGAATTGAAGACCCTAAACCCTAAACCCAAAAACCCAACTCTTCAAACCCTAAACCCTTCACAATGTTTGTATACTGAGTTACTGAGGTTCCTCCACCATCTGAGGCACAGGCCTCGAAACCCACCTGAATCAGACGCATGTCGGAGGCCCTGGTCGATGCGTGGAAGGAGAAAGGCTTCGACAAGGACATGGCCGGGGATGCAGAGGGGGAGATGGTAAGCTTCGGCGTTCAGGGCTCGTTGTTATCACGGCTGTTTACCCGTCCTTGCGCTTGCTAGGGGTTCGAAACGTGCTCGAAACGAAAAGGAGAAACGCGGCAAAGCAAATTACATGCTTGTGGCTTCGCGAATGTGGATGTTGTGGGTGGTGTTTATGGGTGGAACTCGTGCTCTCCACCTTCGCCACAACAGCCACAACGACCGCAACGGCTGGCTTCAGACTCCAAGAGTCAGGGCTTCATCCGTCCCCTCCTTTTCTCTTTGCCCTTGACAGGCAAGACGAAACCAAAAGGTTTCTTCAACATTCAACCACATACAATGCAGATCTCAAACAACTGAGGCCTTCGGTAGCCAGGCCCTGCGGCTCCGCTTTCAGGGCCTTGCTTTATTCCCGGCACTTTCGTTGCGGATTTCGAAAGCTCAAGCTTTTGAACGCGCGTTCCTCGATTAGCCTTTCGCTTCCTCACGAATTTTCCTCCTATCAGGCGACCCCAGTCCCGTCCATGTTACCTTTTCATACTCCCTTCCATAGGGCGTTTAGGGTTTAGGGTTTAGGGTTTCGGGTTTAGGGTTTCGGGTTCTTCCCTTTCATCGAATCTCAGAGCGACCCCCTGGCCTCATAGCTTGCCGGGGCCCACCCCGAAGGTGCAAATGAAGTTGGCAGCAGCCCTGTAAGCCTAAACCTTGGGATGTTCCCCCTTATGCTACGGTTTAGGGTTTAGGGTTTAGGGTTTAGGGTTTAGGGTTTAGGGTTTAGGGTTTAGGGTTTAGGGTTTAGGGTTTACTTAGGGTCTAGGGTTTAGGGTTTAGGGTTTAGGGTTTAGGGTTTAGGGTTTAGGGTTTAGGGTTTAGGGTTTAGGGTTTAGGGTTTAGGGCTAGCAGTCCTTAATCGGGACTATAGTACCCCTATTCTAATCCCTAAGTATGAAGGACTGGTAGTATACGGGGGAACATCCCAATCCATATGCCGGAACCCGAAGCCCACAAGCCTACGCCTTATTCCTTGGGCGGTTACAGTTACCACGGGCAGGGTTCCGCAAACTTTCAACCGATTCCTGCATTTTGGGGTTTGGGGTTTAGGATTTAAGGTTTAGGGTTTAGGGTTTAGGGTTTTGGGGTTCGGGGTTTAGGGTTTAGGGCTCATGGTCCGAAACCGAGATCTTTGCATCCTCAGTTCCGGAGCGCAGGCGCGTCTTCTTGTCTGCGGGAATGAACACACTCTTTGCTGATAAGAACCACCCCTAAAAGAATAATATTCTTCCTTACATGTCAGTATCATCTTTCGTTCTTTTGTTTGTTGTTTCATGTTTTTTTTTTTGGGGGGGGGGGGGGGGGGGGGGTGGGGGGGGGTTGGGGGGGGGGTGGGGGGGGGTTTTGGGGGGGGGGTTGGGGGGGGGGGTTGGGGGGGGGGTTTGGGGGGGGTGGGGGGGGGGTTGGGGGGGGGTTGGGGGGGGTTGGGGGGGGTTGGGGGGGGGGGGGGGTTTGGGGGGGGGGGGGGGGGGGTTGGGGGGGGTTGGGGGGGGGGAGGGGGTTCTTAAGCAAATCGTAGGAAACAATGCAGCCATAGACCAAATGCAGCCCTGGACCCTATAAACCCTAAACCCTCAACCGCACGGCGTGCACGGAGCCCAGCGCGATTTGAGCTCGGGGGCTTTGCAGGACAAGGTCGACGTCGTGATCGCTCCAACGGCACTTCACCTGGGCACCTCGGTTGCAATCGCTTTGGGTTTAGGGTTTAGGGTTTAGGTCCAGGGTAATTCGTTTCATGTTCTTGAGGCGTGTGTCGTTTACTCGAGGCAGGTAGGATTGGAGGAAGAGGGGCGGTAAGCTATCGGTTACTTGTCATCTTTCTTTGACGAGCTGGTGACAGAGTTTTTACCCCGACGCCGTTAATGTGAGAAGCCCTCAACCTCAATCCAATAAGCCCAACCTTCAATACCCAGCGTTTCACAGATGCAAAGTCTATGGCTAGTGTCTAGGCCCTGGGGTTGTTAGTCAAAACCTGTGTAGAACAGAGAACTTTAGCCGCAGCAAGCTACGTTCAGCAAATGCGTGGAGGAGGTCTAGTTGCACATCAATCAGCCAAATGGTACGGCTTGTAAGCTTCAGCTATGTTAGCCTGGACATCGTGAGTTTCAGGATGTAGAGATTCCTAGGGACGGGGTAGGTAACCTTCAACCTTTTTGGTAAAATAGAATCCTATACTATGTATATATTAAAGATTAAGCTTTGTTGGGCTAGGGTAGCACCCTAAACCCTCAACCCTATACCATTTATATATTTAAGATTAGGCTTTGTTGGGCTAGGGTAGCACCCTAAACCCTAAACCCTAAACCCTAAACCCTAAACCCTAAACCCTAAGTCCCCAAGGATCCCACCTGAGTCCTCATCCGAAAAGCTAAGGATCCGTCAAGGCCGGCTTGGAAGGCCTTGGCATGCAGGTTGGGCCATTGGGCAATTGAAGGGGGTTTAGGGTTTAGGGTTTAGGGTTTTGGGTTTAGGGTTTTGGGTTTAGGGTTAGGGTTTAGGGTTTAGGGGGTCTTCCGGCACTTGGGTGTGTTTAGGCTTCGTGGGTTTCGATATTTTTAGAGTGTAGGGATGAGGGCTCGAGGCTGGGTGAGAGGTTTGGTGGGCCTATGGGATCTTGTGGCCGCGAATTGAAGGCGCCCGCGGATGCCAGGACGAATCGTAGGTGCCAGTGGATGCCACGACGACTCGATGTGTTTGGCTTGTGTAGAGTGACGCGACCACGACATTCCCTCTTTGTAGCTTGTGACCCCAACTCATGTTCCTAGACTTGTGGTCTCTGTAATACAGTCCAATGTGGCTACGAAGTCTATCGACTGAAACATGTGTAAGAAGCGGTACCCCTAGAACAATGGCTACTAGGTCAGTTTCGAGACTGAACAGGTTCAGCTGTACAAAGTGGGCGCTATCTTAGTAGCTGAGTAGGAAACCTTCAACATTTTGGGGTATGTAGATATTTATATATATATATATATCATCCTACCACAATTGAAAGGTTAACCTTTTTTCGCCCAGGTTAGTCAGCCATCTAGCGTGCAGGTCTCGCAAGTAGCATCGGCTGCACGTTGCTGAGCAGGTGTCTTCGCAGAACGTGGGCAAGAATGATTCTTCGCAGCACACAGCCCGTAAGCGTGGGACCGAAACTGCAAATAAGATCCAAGCCTCTGTGGTTGGAGGATTTTGGGGCTTAGCACATTTAGGGTGCTCGATTTCTGTTCCTTTTGCGCGCGCGTGCGTTTCAAAGTACCTTAGCTCCCATTGCCAGTTGCAAGTGCAGTACTTACAATCCTGCATGCATTTTTTCCTGAATCTCGACCTTAAACTGGCTCTGCCTCAGAGATGGCAGTTTAGGGCTTTTCGGGTTTAGAGTTGTTTAGGGTTTAGGGTTTAGGGCAGTTTAGGGTTTAGGGTTTTTCGCAATTCCTCAACAAACCATCACTGGTTCCTTTGCCCTATACCTGGGGGCCCCTGGAAGCTCAGCAGGGTGTTTTGGGCGCGTGTTGGGCGGTCGAATGCCAGTAGGTCGGATGGCTTCCACTAGGTGAGGAGATAAGGCCCCAGAGCCCACAGGCCGGTTTTTTTGGTTTTCGTTGTTCTTTCTGCAGAGATCGGGGGGAAGGAGTCAACTGTGAGATCAGTTGTATACAGTTATGGAGTCATATCCCATTTTCACACATCCTCGATCAGCGCCTCTAATTTAAAGGCTTTCCAACCAGACCATCTCAAGTTAAGTTCAGGAAATGGGCGCATTCACTGGCGAGTGGACCGCCAGGGGCCCGGGTGGCTACGCATGGAGAGAAATTTGAGTCCAGCTGCCTTCAGTTGAGAGTTGAGGGATCAAGGAAGTTCAGAGAAGTTCAACTGATGGCTTAAACTAAGAGGTGTTAAGTAAGATTATTATAATTCTTATCATAAGGTGACTTGGATGAAAACTCACGCCCAGGCTCTCGAAGTCCAGGTCGATTCTTTTTTGGGAATGCGTGCCCCATCTGTCGCCTACGACAGGGACTTCTAAACTCAGCCAAAGACCTTAGACCGCATGCTTTCTTCGACAACTCAGGTATCTGCCCTCTTGACTTCGCGCCCTCTCAAGTCGTAGTCCACACAATCTCAATTGAGACGTACCTCCATGGGATATTATACCCTATAACCCCTCAAAAAGGCCCTTAAGAGGGTTGGTTAGGGGATTATAAGGCCTAATGGCCCATGCTGGCACCTGGCACTGTGTGTCGGCCGTCAGCTCCCAGGCCACGCACTTGCAGGACATGGAGGTGCCGATGTCTTCTCTTGCCTTGAAGGGGGGCTTCGCTCCCCCTGAGCGTTTATCAAGGCCCTATGAACCCACCACGTGCCGCGAGAATCTCGATGATCCCTCAGAATCCCTCATAGGATCCCTCGATGCCGAAACGGTCTCAAAAGTCCCCCTGCACCTTCGGGCATCATCCACTTGACTGAAGTCCTGGTGTAACATGCAGCTTCGCAGCCGGGAGGAACCAGGTCCTCTTTAAGGGGTGGTAGTCATCAGCTGGATCGCTGTAATCCCAGAAATTTCCAAGAGAGCAAGTTCTTGCATGCTCGCCCAGTGCCCCTAAGCCTCCTACCTGGCCAAACCGACATCACCTAAACCCTAAACCCCAAACCCTATGTTCCGGAAGGTGCCATACACGCTCATCGGCCACTCGGAGCGCCGAAGCAAGTACGGAGAGTCAGACGAGGCGCCGACTTCGGGGAACTGCGGAAATGGGATTGGAGTCGGGTCTGCATGCGCGGAGGTTTGGATATTGCCCGGTATTACTAGCTTGCTTCTTGTGTTGCTATGAACTGATGGCGAGCTTCTTCAAGCCGGAGCACCGCAACTCCCCCTCTGTCCGAATCCTCACCTGGAAGGACACGGCCGTGAAGGTGGAGAAGTGCCAGGCTGCAGGCATCAAGGCCCAGCAGCCGTTGGATTAGGGTTTGGGGTTTAGGGTTTCGGGTTTAGGGTTTAGGGTTTGGGTTTAGGGTGTAGGGTTTAAAGTTTGGGCTTGGCTTGAGAAGTTGCTGTCTCGGGGGTCAGACTTAGCAACACCTAAACCCTAAACCCTAAACTAAACCTTAAACCCTAAACCCTAAACCCTAAACTCCCAAGAAGACAGGTGATCTTCTGCATTGGCGAGCTCCTGGAGGAGCGCGAGGCCAACAAAACTGACGAGGTGCACAGGGTGCATCCTGACACTAGGACCCGGAGTAGGCCCTTCTTGGGTTTAGGGTTTAGGGTTTAGGGTGTAGGGTTTAGGGTTTAGGGTTTAGGGCTACTGGGACCTCAAGTAGGCCCTTATTTCCTTTTCTTCGGGTTTCCCTCATAGTCCCCTTAACCACAAAAAGGGTACCCTTGCTATTCCTAGGTTACTCCTGGGTCTGGGACATGTATTGCTTGGGATGCTCTCTCTTGTACGAACAGTCCTTAGTAGGGATTACAATAGCGGGCACTATAATAGGGATGATTATCGCGAGTACTATAATCCGGATTAAGGACTGCAAGGGGGAACATCCCAATTGCGGAAACTGTCCTGCAAAACAGACTTTCTCCAGACCCACTGCTTTTGCCCGAGTGACGTCAGGTTCCCCCAGACTCTAGGTACCAGTACAACACATCTACGCTGTGATAGGCTGGCGGGTGTGGGATTCCAAGCCATGCAAGCTCCAAGCCGCTTTAGGGTTGGCGGCCAGGCCCTTGTCCTTGAAATTCCCTGTTTCACAGACTCTAGGTAGAGTACCCAGGGCTGTTTCTTCAAGATTTGGGGCTGGTTCGTATCTTCTTTCCCACATCCTAAACCCCCATCAACCGCGAACCGTAGAAGCCAAAGAAGCTTCTTCAAGCAAGGTGAACAAGCGCCAGCTCGCTGCCGTGATCCCAAAAATCACGAACTGGGACTGCCTTCGGGTGGATTTTGGATGTAGAGAAGCGGAGGTTTGTTTCCCTTGTGTACACTTTATTTCGGTAGTTCATTGTTCCAAAGCATGAATACAAGTGTAGAAATAACAGCTGTTAAATAGTAAAACATTATCGTGAAGCAAGAGCAAATACTCTCTCTCTCTCTATAGATATATCTCTCTCTCTACAATATATATATATATATAGTTGTTGCCTACATATGAAATGGCTCTGACTCTGTTTCAGGGTTTTTGGGGTTTGGGTTGGGGTTTTGATGCCGCAGGACAACATTGTCATCGCCTACGAGCCTGTCTGGGCAGCTCGGCACGTTAAATGGCTAAGCCCACTGCTTGGGCTCTTTGGTTGTGGTCTTTCGCTCCTTCGAATAAGCCGTTGCGATGCAACCAAACTAGCTCGTTGAGCATGTTCGGGCCGTTGTGGGACGAGGCCCCTGCTCGGGCATAGCCACAGAGCCTTAAGGAAATTGCAGTTCACTTCGGGTTGTGGCCTAGGGCAGCGAACTGCAAACAGCAAGATGTCTGGAACCCACACAGAGCGCCTCTCCTTGTAGTGCGTGTGGTAACCCGCATGGGCCCTGTCTTAGGCACCCGGGCCCGAATCAAAGTGCTCGACCCTCCATCTTCAAACCAGAAAATTGCGGCAGAACAAGTCCCTGAGGCTGTCTTGCTTCCGGAGCTTTTGGGAAAGTGGGGAATGACGTATAAGCACTACTGCTATGTGAGTTCGTTGAGGAACTGCGATAGGGTCTACTGCTCCACCCCCCGTAAGCAACAGTAACTTTTGGAATGCATGAGCGAGTCATCTTTGGCATTTTCCGTGTTGACGGTCAGGAACCCCCACTCACTCCCCACTGCTCCTCCCCCTCTCCCCGGCCCCTCGCGTTCCAGCTTAGGGTTGTAGGGCTTCGGGTGGGGGCACAGAGAAGCCTCACAAAGAACAGTGCTTTCTCAGCCCAACACATCCGAGAGGCCTGGTCTAACATACTAAGGACGCCCATTGCGGCCAGATTTACTTCTTCATCCCAAATTCACAAACCCTATGAGTTTCACAGATAAAAAAAATCCCTAAACCCTAAACCCTAAGCCCTAAACCCTAAACCCTAAACCCGAAACCCGAAACCCGAAACCCTAAACCCTAAACCCTAAACCCTAAACCCTAAACCCTAAACCCAAGCACCCCCAAATGATTTCGCATGGCAGGCCATCGGCACCGGCAAGGTCGCCACGCCGGAGCAAGCCGAGGAGACCCAGGTCCCCTTCCACAGAAATGGGGGGGGGGGGGTTGGTTTTAGAAGAGCTCAGCTGGGTTTAGGTGGGGGTGGGGGGGGGTGGTTCTGGCAGTCTGGGGCATATGTGTATATATGTATGTGTGTGTGGGTTGCTAGGTACCAAGCGGACAGGTTTGGGTTCTGAACGTTCCTTTCCTGCCCAAACAAGTTCATTGCTCTCCAAGCCTTCTCTGCTGCAAAACGAGGCTCCTGGGCCCCAGGCTCTCCCTTCCAACTCTCCATCGGCCCCCACGACAGAACAACACGATCTGTCAATCTAATCGACGAACAGACCGGGAGAACGGGTAAGTAGGTGTGGAACGGGGCGGCGGGTGGGGGGAAGGGGGCGGGGGTAGGGGACCCGTTAGGGTTTCGAACACCGGGTCTGAGGCCTATGATCATGTGGTTTGGGGTGCAGGAATGATTAGCTCCATGGAGGTAATCTCGATCATGCGCGATGTGCAGTAAAGGAGGGCTGTTCACGACTGCGAATTGGCGTTCAGACATGTTTTCGGAAGCAGCAGCAGAAGAAGAAGAAGAAGAAGAAGAAGAAGAAGAAGAAGAAGAAGAAGAAGAAGAAGAAGAAGAAGAAGAAGAAGAAGAAGAAGAAGAAGTTGAACGTGCCCGTGCCCTTGTCGCGGCCGGCACGGAGTGAGGACCAGTCAACCACATTCGCGGGGCCTCTTAAGGACCTTAGTCCTCCAAGCGACGCGCAAGCTCCTATGGAGTCCTACGCGTTCCGCACGCCATGCCGCGCGGACCAAAGTTTACACGCTGTGTCAGCCGCGTGCACGCTCGCCCACCAACCGTCCCGCTAACATGTCTGGTTCCAAGATGCTTGGAGCGACAGGCTGAGGAAATTGTGGTCCCAGGCTTGTGGGAAAGTCTGCGAAACGCGGTTTAGGGTTCGACTTTCTCCTTCGTCTTGCTTGCAAGTCTTTGGGAATGAGGGGTCCCGGTCTACGGTGGAACGATGTTCAGCCACCCCCTCCAGACCGAACCCTCCAATCCCAAAAGCCAACCCGCACCAATGGTTTTGGCACTCAGGCCAACATTCGGGCCTACCTCAAGGCGTGGAGTCTTTCAGCGGCTTTGGGTGCGGGAACTCTGGGGTCCTTGCTTTGGGTTTCGGGTGCCAGAATGTCAGAGGACAAGGGTTTAGGGTTTGGGGTTAGGGTTGGGATCTGCTTTAAGAAGTGAGGGCTGAAGAGAGCTGCCTTTGCGAGCATCGGGTTGCCTCGGCGGGGCTCCATGCCGCTTCAGCATCTTCGGAGATGCGCGCTCTTCGGTTTAGTCTTTTTTTGCTGCGGCGGTGGGAGGGGTAGAGTGAAGATTGAACGCTTTTTTGGTTTTGGTACGTCGGCCAGAAATCCTGAGACGCCGACTTTAAAACGAGGGTCTGTTGCTGTAATCAATGGCTCCGACGGCCGTCCTCTCTAAACTTGCAGAACGCAAGTCACTGCTGGGAAATGGAACCTCCAAAGCTTGCTTTAGTGCCGAGTTCTGCGTAGGAAGCCGTCAGCGCAGAGGTGGCTGACAAGGTGGATGGGAGGGTTTAAAAGCTTCGTGAGCTTAATGCATATAGGGGTGGGGATAGTTACTACTAGTATTCCTTCATGGTCCCTTCAGAGTTATACTCAAACTAATCCCCCAAAGCCCTGTTCCATTTATTGAGGCCCCTACATGACCAGTGTTGGGTTCGTGCATCACAGAGGGGAGTATGTTCCCCGTTGTACTAACAGTCCTTACTCGGGACTATAATACCCTAAACCCTATAAACCCTCAACCCTAGGGGGTACTATAATCCCTATTAAGGACTTTTAGCATAAGGGGGAACATCCCAAACCATGCATGTGGAATGTGCCAAAAAGCCTGAGACTTCTACGCAGCAAACTAAGACCAAGAGCAAGACCCATTCGAGACGTAGGGTTCAAGATAACCTTTTGAATTGCCTTCTGCTGGTATCAGACAAGCTGGTTGGCACACATAGTTCTGAGTATGCAAAGACTTTGCTGCTCATGGCCTCATAAACTCGACGGTTTTGGTGTTTAGGGTTTTTGGTTTAGGGTTTAGGGTTTGGGGTTTTGGGGTTTGGGGTTGGGCTTGAGCAAGGGCCCACGTGACCCCGAGCGCCTAGCTGCCAAATGCAGGAGTCTTCGGGCCTGTGGCTGGCTTTCAAGGGTTTCAGAACTCTTACGGAAAAGCTTGAGCTTTGCAACCTTGTTTTGGGCTCTGCGATGCCACGAATTCAGTTGAGGGGCTCTTAGCTACCTTGGGCCTTAGCTGGGGGTACGGTCGGTGTCGGTTGTTGGGCTTACGTTTTTGAGGACTCGCGGTGGTCTTGGCCTTGAATTTTCTCTGGAGTTCCTGAGGGTGTTGAACCATGGTGGCCATGACTCTCCAGTCTCCAGTTTGAAGATCGTTCTGGTGTCGTTTGGGCCCAAGCTGTTCACACGTCCGAGGTAGAATCCGGGGCGGTCAGTGTAGGCCGAAGGCCTTCCACGGTCACATCTTGAACTAGACCCCCGCCCGGTCAACCACTACCCTCAACACCCCAAGGTCGAAGTCGAAAGTGTAAGCCCGAAATCGTGCTACGACCATAAGCCCAAACACACGACAGTTGATCAACGTCACCGGCAAGCTGGTAGGGTCAAAATGGATGTCGGGCAGCGGCCCAAGCCCCCACAGAGCCGGAAGGTTCCGCCCTAAACTGCCCTAAACTGCCCTAAACTGCCCCTAAACTGCCCTAAACTACACTCCCAGAAGCCCTTAAGCCCCCCCATACTCCCTAATTCCCGGGCCCCCCGCTGATGATCTGGTACCATGCCGACTCCTGGACCGATGTCCTCTTCCGATGGGAGGGAACGACCATCCAGGCCTGCCAATGGGATGTCTTGGAGGGTTTTGGGGTTTAGGGTTTATACGATTTAGGGGTTTAGGGTTTACAGGGTTTAGGGTTTAGGGTTTAGGGTTTAGGGGTTGGGGGGGGGGGGGGGTGGATGTTTTGGGTTCAGTCGGTTCAGTGCTCCTCAGCGTGCAGGGCTTCATGTGTCTTGTGCTGTTCCGGGCTTGCCTCAAGTCTTATGTAGCAACGATGCTATGCCAGCGGGCATTGGTGCCTTGAAGGGTACTATTGGGGGTTTCCGAAATTAGGGGTACCCTATGGGCCCTTTTTATAAGGGAATCCTACTATAGGGGTGCTAATTGTCGTAAACTCCCAAGTAGAGGCTGGTGGAAAGTTGCATGTTGAGGGTGATCAGCGGCATCGCCACGACACGTGGAGTGGTGCGACTCCTCGAGTGTTCCGGGGGTCATCTGCTCAATCCAAGGTTTTGACCTTCAACTCAGACCGAATCGTCCACCCGATGTCATGTTATTGCACTGTTTCCACTTTCCTAGACAAAGACTTCGGAAAGCTCTCCCTCAACAACGGCCAGTTGGTTAGCATCTCCGTCTTGTAAAGCACATGTACTCCTTTCCAGAACAAAAAATCAGCACACAATCATACAGGGCTTAGCAAGTTTTCTCTCGACTCAGCACCGGTTGTCTTTGATCTGCCCTGCTCATAAGTTGCATCCCTGGTGTACCAACTGACTTGCAGCTTTTCCTTCGTCAGATTGACCCATCCACTGTTCCATGGAAGTTCCAAATCATTAAATCCGCAAAAAATCTTGCAAGTGGTTCTGCCCACATGGCCCGGTAGCATCAAGAGCACCCAACAGCAGCGACACACAACCCGCTCCAAAAGGCTGTATGGAGCTAGACGCCAGGCATTTAACCTTTTATGTCGGAGGCGACTTCTGCGTCCGTTCATGGTATGCCCAAGATCCGGATATCAAAATCTGGTTGTGAGAGCAGTGCACTAGAAAAGAGCCCTCTCGTCGACGTTGGTGCAATTGACAACACATCAAAGGCTGGCAGTGGATTGAATGTCGAATCAGGTTTTGGCTTGGCCAGATGTTTCAGTGCGGTTGGCACAGACACGGAGCAATTGCACGGTGAGTTGGTTCCAATGGGACAATCCTGGGACTCATGGCCCCGAACGTTGGGGGTGTGTGTCCCTAAACCCTAAACCCTAAACCCTAAACCCTAAACCCTAAACCCTAAACCGTGTTGCCGCAGGCCTGCAGCACCAAGCTGGGCACCTTCTTCCTGTACGTGGTGGCGGCGTATGCACTGGACCCTCGGACAAGTCGATGGTTCAAACTCAAGTCCAACAATATTAATTTAGGGCCTTAATAATAGGCATAGGGTTTTGGGGGTTACTATGGTATATTTGTAAAAGGGACCATAAGGGAATACTATTAGTGATTTTGCCCCCGACCCCTGTATAACAAGGTCCATCCCGCAATGGCTTTTAATCTTCATCGGGTTCTGTCCGTTGTCTCCCAGGCTTCTTTTACTGGCATTGCGTGTTGAGGTGAACTTGACATTGCGCGACCGTCTGATTCGGAGTGGCTTTGTTGCTCAACATGTGTTTTTGGGGTTTTGGGTTTTTTATTTACGAGTTTTACAGTAGGTGCGTTGTTGCCCCGGGCGCAAGGAAGAGTTTCTGGACACGAATTTCGGCGATGCCTTCAAGCATAGTGAGATCTGGGGCAGCTGGGCGGCATCAAGCTTCCAAATTCACCCTGTCTCCGCCACATGCTTGTTTCGTCTGCATGATGGAGAGCGATGCTGCCCGAAAGTTCACCCTAACCTTCTCCGCCGTATGACTGGACCCAGACTGGCCTTAACCCTTGTAGAACCCTACACCCCAAACCTAAACCCTAGACCCTAAACCCTAAACCCCAAACCCCTTGCCGTGTTTTTTTTCAACAGCCTGCTGCAGCATCTCCGAACAAACAACGAGAGTCGTTTCATTCCAAGCCCAAGAGCTCGACCCCATGCAAACTCTGGCGCAAAGTGTATGATTTGCCAAGATGCTCGAGAGGCGCCCAATCTGCCACCCATGGCAGTACTGGTGGTACCAGGATGGGCTATTAGACCCTATCACCCTCAAAAAAGGCCCTTTATAGGGTTGACTCTGGGGACTCTAGGGCCTATTAGCCCATCCTGGTACATGGTCACAAGTAGTGCGTGGAAACGCGGCTGCGGGTAAAGCCCGAGCAGTGAGGCGTAGAAGCCTTTTCTCTCAACCCTGGACCGCTTGAGGCCATTGAATTCAAACCCTGAACCCTGGGTCCAAACCCTAGATCCTGTAGGCAAGTGCCTCTGCTTTCTGATCGTCTTTCGTGCCAACTCCTCGTACAAGCGCTACTGGGAGGGCCGGATGCATGCGGCGCCTTAGCTGAAGCAGAAATCTAGGAAGGGGCAGCAGCTTCGGGGTGTAACCATTGGGGTTTTGGTTTGGGTGGGGAGCTACTAATAAACATCCAGGGCCGGAGGGGTGAGGGTTGTGTGGTCTATATGATTCCTTGTCGTGTGGCAGCTTAGAGTCCAAGGTTTGGGATTGGCCGGGCCAGCCGGAAGCTCTAAGATTCAAGCCCCCTGGACCCAATCCAGCAGCCGCTGTCTCGAGTGGAGAAAGAGAGGCTTGATCAGAGGTCCGGGGCCCAAACATGCACAGGTCGAGAAGGTACAGAGACGCTGGGCAGACCTTCAAATGGACGGCTGACGCAGCAACATGCACGGTTCCTATTCCCTTGGTGTTCTCACAGGTTGAGTTCTACTCGAACCTCCGATCCGTGGTGATGCTGGCCTGCGGCCTTTTCCGAGGACGCAAGGGTGTTGGCTGGGGGAGTGACCAGGTGGGGTTTGGTCTGACCTGTTGGGGGCCCTTCAGAGCGCCAAAGTCAGGGTAGCCCAGGGAGGCAAG